ACCTCTCAGCTAGTAGTCTGAATACCTAACAGTTCAGCCATAAGCGGCTGATCAGCAGTGTGATTAGATCACGCTGAGAGAGAATACAGAATCGCTCATCCTTGAATTACCGATTGCACACCACGTGATCACCTGTTGACTGGATCCTCGAGTGTAGACGTCTCAATGGAAAGGCTCGCTTATCTTGTGAATTATTCTTCCTTCCGAATCATTTGTAAGTTGACGGTATGGAGGATATATGGAAATTATTTATTAGATCTAAGTATTTCCTTCCTGTTGACTGGATCCTCGAGTGTAGACGTCTCAATGGAAAGGCTCGCTTATCTTGTGAATTATTCTTCCTTCCGAATCATTTGTAAGTTGACGGTATGGAGGATATATGGAAATTATTTATTAGATCTAAGGAGTGTATTTCCTTCACAAACTATGTTTGCTCGGAAACCATTGCACCAGATTTTTGGAGATGGTAAAATATATGTAATAGGACGAACCAGTCAGTGTCGTTTGATTGAATTTTCACTCCCATCTCACTCTCAATCCTACAGAGTGGATGTTGATTTCGATGAAGAGAATCCTTGCGCTCACGTTGTTTGTGATCTAGTTTAAGTGAGTCATATTTACCAAAGGAAAATCATCAGGATCTCTAATTATCCTCCGACTGATTTGAGTGCAGGCAAACCGTTACCTAAAAAGGCGCCAACGAGTGAAATCGACTAAGAAGAGCCTGTAAAATTACCACAGAAACCATTTGAATTAATCGCCACACTCGTGCATACTTTCATCGTATGCTGAAACATTCCTGGATCGCTTTTTAATTACCGCATCTCACGACACACTGGGACTCTCACATGGTAAAGTCTGTTGTAGACACGGGCCATAAAATGACGGGCTTAGTGTACGCCCAAGATCAACCTAGACAAGAGGAACTTGTTTATAGCTTGTTTCCACCTGCGTCGGATGCACAAAACACTAAAAAAAAAGGACCGGCATACTGCGTCGGATGCACAAAACACTAAAAAAAAGTGACCGGCATAAAGATATGCTAATTTGAGCAAACATCAAATGGTAAATGACGCTAAATTATTAGTATTTCGAAGGATAAATTTAGGGTCAAATCTGTATATTGCGGTAGGTGGAAAAACTGAACACTCAGTTTTATCCCTTCGTGTTTCAGCCAGACATCATTGTTTAACCAGGTTAGGAGGGTTTTAGACTGAGTAGGAATAAAATTCGTTCTCGAAGAACAAAATCACCTAAAGTCTGAAGGGATTGTAGATAAGAAGCCTTATCGAAAAATGGGGCGTAACGTTTGCTACAGACCGCTGTGCTAATAGGAAGCTCTTCAGGGAATTCTCATTTAGCAGTATGTACCGTAATATATATCGTCTACAATGCAAACTGGCGTCCTTTAACATCTGATGCTCACTTTATCAGACATTAAACTCTGGATTTCGCGAAAATTGAGGCAAGCGTGGACTCCATTTTTGGATGATCGAATTTAACAATTTTAAGAAACTCATCAGTACATAGAATAGCTACTTCATCCATTTTTAGAATTACCAGCCGACATTGTAGATCGTAGAGAACACGAGTATACAGTATATCCATGACTTGTAGCCTTCTGTCTTGCAGTCATGGGGTTAGAAAGTCGGGAATATTTCCGACTTACCTTAGTGTCCCATATAGTGTCACAACACAGTTGCGCTTCCCTGTCCCGTTCTCAACTCACTCCTTGGAAGATTTCTCAGGGCTGCCTTCATTGGATGTCGTTTAAAATTAGGTTACTTATTTTGTATCAGTAGTGAAAAGTGTGCGTTTTGGACAGGATGAGCGTGTGCCTTAGAGCCAAGGGACGTAGAGTGACTGCTGCCTTCGTTTGGGGAAATGACAATTTTATGCATATCATAGCGAGCAAAAACACACATGTGCCCCGAATTTTGGACAAAATGGAAACTGAGGCGTTTTCCTTGTAACATCTGATTGGAAATGTCGTAAACAAGAGATTCATTTGAATTGCATTCGAGTCAACCAGACCAGCCTCTAATTATATTTTGGACAAATTTTCGATATCGGAATACCCTGCAGTCGACCGACAAAGGTGTCCTGTACAGCAATCGGAAAATAGGCAAACAATCTCACGGTTATATCTTTGACTACCTTCAACTTACGATAATTCACCCAAGAAGTAAAGACACTGGCTAAATGATAAATATGGACAAAGTCACATATGGCGACTTTTTTGTCCGGTAGTGAGTAGTCGAGGGATCTAGACAGAGTGGCTTTATCTGAGGAGTTCGCTTTTTAGGACCAATAAAATAACATGTTTCACCGACCAGTAGAATATAAAGCGGAAGCGTCATTCTTCGTTGTCTGTTTGCATGTTTGTTGTAACCGTGTGGTAGCTAGGTGCGGAGAGATGCAGCTTAGCACCGCGGGCAATGGCACAGTTACATAATTCGCACTGTATCAGTTTATTTACTTGACAAAATGGGTGACTGGTGACGCCGATCGTCAAACACCGAGAGTTTTCATGCATTTTGTGTGAATGAAGCAGTGTGGGCTGCACGTTCACAGTGTGTACTTTATCAATGGCTGAAAAACTAACGTCACGCCGGAGCCATAGGTGCGGGAGGTTGGAGTAAGCTGCACTGGTTAGCCTGACTCGAAAAGTTATATCATCAACATCTAGTCCACCGAAACTTATTTGACCACCCTGGTAAGCAAATTTATCTACCAAGTCGATTGGCTGGCCTGTAGGCAAGAGATTCGGGTTTGTTCCCACCCAGTCTTCTAGCAGCACCTTACATTTTGTGGGCGCGGAGCGCACAGTAGCTCGTTTGGCGGAATTACTTAGATCATTTAGAATGTTCTGCATCTTTGGGGAGTTCAAAAAGAGTGCAGCAATATCGTCTACGTATTCAATGTTTGTGAACAAACAGCCCAGGACCACTTCAATCAGATGTAGGTAGAACTGTTCCAAGCAGCACATCACTAACAAAACTGGAGAGGAATGATGGGAAGGGAGGCCTTGTCTCAAACTGCTGAACGTGGTGAGCTCATCCGACAATTTACTGTGTCCGGGCAACGGTTTAGACAAGGAAGACGGACTGACTATAGTTCACAGTTTGATGAGTGGGAAGGTATAAACGAGAGCCAATGAACAAAGAACTCCATAAGGCCATTATACTTCCAGCTTTCCCAAATCGGAAAAAGGGTTTTGTGTGAGGTAATCCACCTTAAGCCCTTGATTTAAAATCCGACCCACAAAGCACTGGGAGAAAGCAGAGTTTTGTTCCCGTATCCTTACCATAGCCTTTGACTCAAAAGTCTGACTCGAAAGGCAGTAGGTTGTAAGGTTTTGTTGGAGAATCGTACTCGTAGCCGGTGACTAACTGGGGCTATTGACCCAGCCCAAGGGCTCCATTAGTAACACATCACACACATTAGAACACATCACTCGTGATGTTACTACACATAGCAGATGCGTTTTTAGTCCCATTTGGTCCGTAGATTATGAATGTATTTCGGCCGTAGAGGAGAATTTACCGGCGTTCACGGTCAACTGTTCGGCATTCGGAGTTTGTGAACTTTAGTACCGACTTTTATCAGTCCGTCCGTAACTATGGACATCCCGGGGGGAAAACGTACTGTACTCACATTCTCCTGCAGCATACTTTCACCTATGAACTGCCTAGGAGTGGGATATCGATGACTCGCTGTTCTTCGTCTGATTGTTCCAAATCGGCCTTCTTGGCATGATTGCTACTTGTGACAAAGTTCTAGCCAGTCTATTCCATGGAATCACTTCAGAACCCAAACCAGACTACCGCGTCAAGGTGGCGGCTTTTCGTCGATGATGAGAGGCTGATCACTAATTCGACACTATTACCACTAAAATCGTTTATTTTTGAAGGATCAGTCACAAAAAATAAATGCGACTGATAGATATGGAGGGATGAACAGAACATTATATTAGAACGAGGAGGAATTTCCATTCGAAAGTGTGTGATCAATAGTTTCCAGTTAGGTGAGATGACCTTCAACGTATGTATGCCTGATATGGAAGCACGCTTAGGGATTGGACACTGAAGAAAAGATCAACAGTACTGAACGCTTTCATAAAGGTTGCTGAAAACTCTGAATGCTCTTCAGAGCGCAGCAACCCGCAGCACAATGGAAACCCGCACATCAGTCACGACGTGCCCGCTATACAAAGTCAGGTGTGAAAGTCGATGACAGAATGAACAATCAGTGTCATGTACCACGCACGAAAGTGTCCCAATTAAGTGGAGAGCTCCAAACAGTCAGTAATAAAAATTCATTGACTGTGACCCAGATCAGTCAAAGCCTAGGCGGATTGACGAAAGGAGAATCCTCGATATCAAGTGATCACCGGTTGGTGAACCAAAAGGTCGACATCAGAGTCAATTGCACATAGGGCTGAGATGATGGCAAGGGAACAATCATCAGCACCGTACTTCTGCTTCTTCTCATTTCACAGCCACTCCTCACCCACCTAAGAATATGCCTGCATCTATCACAATTGCTTGCAGCTCCCGAAAAGCATTGATGAAAGACATTAAAGTAGGCGCTCCCAATTATCCAAGGACGGAGACGTTTTACGAGTTCCCTTGGAGCCTGGTTATAAGGAGCACATCAGGCAGGACTGAAAAATATGCACCAAACTCTCCGGTTCACCACAGTCTCCACGACAGAAGATCGTCTGATCGCCAAGACCATACCGGGAACTTCTAACTCTCGTCCTAAGCAGGTTGTACCGGGGCTGAATAAATACCCGACAAAATAAAAGTAACGGATTCGAGAAAGGCGAAGCGCCCACCCTTCGCAAACTGCGACCACCAACGCTGTTGTGCAAGGTGTCGTCCCAAGCAGGCGCTATTTATTCCTTCGTTCACACTTTGGACTCGGATCGGAAAGGCGAGATCGCGAACAACCTTGGCAAATGCGGAATCGCTGACCACATTTTCTGGTACTTAGCACTAGGTAGACAGCTTTTCCATAGGCAGCCTTCGCTGAATCAAAATGGTTAAATTCAGGCTTTGGATACCAAGTCCCTCATGCTGTTTACCGGCGTGGATGTAGCTGATTGGAGTGTCTTTCGGTATACACGAATAAACCGCCTGTCCAAAGTTTTGGGCGTGTTTCGGTGGGGCTTGTTGAGCACGAGCGGTTGTCAGGCTCGGCATAGGGTAGTTTCTTCTGATTTCCATTCTTCGATGTGTCTCCAAAGGATCGTGCGTCACCTCATCGAGCTGCTGTCTGTTGTTGCGGACTCCTTTCCCATTGAAAGTGAACGGGATGCCCATAGATGTCATAGTTTCTGTCGAACTGAGAGGAGTCATGAGTTTCTTATCAAAGCACAAAGGTTCGACAGAGACCACGGTTGCCCGACGTCTTCTGCCCACATACAAGCATTGCTTTCGTATTTCACGAATGCATCATCATTATCAACTCGAACTCAGTAACTTTAGGGCGAGTCTGACTTTTTGTACACTCGGCCCGGTCGTCAGCGAAGGCAGAACCAATCACTGTGCCATGGAACTGGTAGTCTAGTTGCGGCATCCACAAATATCAGAACCTCAACCATTGCTATGACGAATAATATCGAGGAGAGAGTGGATCTCCCTGCTTCATACCTCGGAGTAGGAAAGGACTGATACAGGATTCTCAAAGGACTAAGCGACGTATCGAACTAAGTGAGGCTGTGTCCCAAATGCCTCGGCAGATCTGGAAATTATCAAGTTAAACCGAATGGAATAACTTGGAAATACCCACAAGAGCTGAATTGAGGTTAGAAATAGTCACTGAAGAGTGATAAGTCGGAGCGTGTAACAGCGAGGTAGCTTCCAAAAACCATCTCGATGAAGAGATGGAAACTGGAGTGAGACAGATGCAAGCTGTGACTCCAGTGACCAGCATCGAAAAAGAAAGGACGACACGGTAAAGCCGGATTTAGGACTATCGGAACCAGAGAAATACAGGCACGGCACAAATTTGGTGAATAAGCCCCAGATAACAATGGTAATTTGAAATACCCATCGAGGGCATTGGTATTGAACTGGCGAAGCATCCTCGGCGTGAGCTTGTCCAAATTTGGAGACGAATTGTCCATTAAACGGACCGTACGAACAAATTCCTAAAATGCAATTGGCTCAATCAAACTTAAGATGGATGGCAGCACTGCGAGACTTGGCCAGCTATCCACGTGTTTTGGAACAGAGGGCGCCTGTTTCTAGAACTGTTCGGTGTCTAGATGTATTCTGCAATTACCTATGTATAGTTCCTTCCACAACCATTGGAGCACAGCGGACGTTACATCTTTCGGCCTTTGGTGGTATAGGGTCTGCTTGGCGAGTGGTTGGCTCGGCGGATGTCTTCGGTTGGTCAGCACCCGATGGGCTAGCTGACGACGGCATCGGGAGATAGATTTCCACCTGTGTGGAAATGTTCTGGAGGCCTGGATATCCATAGGCAATAGGGTGTCGTGATGCCAGTTTGCAACCCTCGGGTAAATGGCGGGTCAATTGTCAAAAGCGGATTCCATTGATACGATGCGATCTGCGGTTTGTTGGAACCGGGCGCTATAGACTTCAGAATCTGACAAATGTGGAGCTGTCTGTTCAACAGTTTGATCAAGACCAATAGATGACTATTCGTCCAGGTGTTTGTCAGTGGTGGACATGTGATCTGGTTTTGATGCGATCGACAGGAAACTATTACTCTAATCTCACGAACAGTGCGGTTAGTGTGCCAGCCAGGCGCAAGGGTCACTGTTACTCTTGTTGGCGCCAGCAGATGCTGAAATTCTTCGCTTGGCCAATTTTATCTGCATCATGCTGGGTGGAGTGTGTCGGAGGTGTTGACTCAGGTAAAACAAACGGAAACCATCAGCGTGGTCCAATTGGGCGACCAAACTTGTGACGTTTCCACGGACGAGAACTCGATGGTGGGCAACCGAACCAGCTTTCAATTTTCAGCACCTGTCACCGGTTCCACACGAGTCCCCACTGTGCAGTGGTGCAAGGGCACGAGCTGGACTGTGTTGTTGTGTCGAAATAACCAGTACGTCAAAATCAAAGTAGTTGGCCTTGTCTGTAGCTGCCGAACTCTTTTCTCTCCCAGAATGACAACCGGCCTATCAAATTGGCATCACGAGGGTGTGGTTTAGCGCGCTGCCACTACTTTGAAAAGCCTGTTGACAAGAGCTCTGGGTCACTGTGAGGATTATAAGCAGCAGTGTGGCAACCCAAAGCATGGCCATGGGTTTAAGCACCTCAACAGAAAGTTGACTTAATTTCGCTGTGAGATGGTTGTATTTTGTGAGCTGATAACATGTTTGCCGAAATGACCATCAATAATTTGGACTTTTAGCTGTCGTATTACTCACTGGATAGTCTTTAAAAGCATCCGCTGTTTTCTTAGACGCCAACAGTGCTATTGCAATTTCACAGAACGTGCCAATGGCAACCGTTGTAATATCTTATTGTTTGTATCGAATCGCTTCCCTTAAATTAGAATAAACGAATACATCATCACTTTGACATATATCCATGTTCAGCCTTTCTTTACTACCATATTTACACCGCGGCATTTGGAATTCATATCTGAGATAAGCAGAAATACAGTGAGAATTGCTTACACTTCAAACTAGGTATCCACTTCCGCATACAATCTAGTGGTTCCAAACTAGCCTATCACGCGTGTCACGCAAAAGCGAGAGTCCGTTCAACCTTTGTTCACCTTGTCGCCCATCTGAGCTGGACGGCAATTTTTATAGTGCAGGTCCTCTGTTGAGATTCATACAGTATGTATATCTGACGATGTTCTATGATGTGTGGCATCTCGTGAAGGCCAATAGATAACTAGTCGTCCACAGCTGTTCTGGAAGCGAACATGGGTGTAGAAAACCAGCATACTGGAGCGTAGTCTAATTGATCGGTTCCCTTGTCTTTCGGTCATTAGTGTGTCGTCCGGTTCATCCAACAGTTCACTTTCGATAAACATATTTGATACTAACACTCCGAAACAGTTTACGCAACCGGTTACTGGTCGGACAATCGATTTTTCGTTCAATTCTCATGGGAAAGCAGTGACCGACCGAAACAGCTATACTGAATAGAACGGCTGATGGTCCATCACGGGACAGGGAAGAACTCGTGAGGACATTTTGAAAAAGCTATTTAGATATTCTGTCCCACTGCCATAGCATGATACTTAGCAATAATGCCAAAAACAGTTTATTCACAATTTTATTACAAGGAGTAGGACACAATATGTACAAAACAGAAGGCCCATCTAGTTTGGCAGACCGCAGGGAAGAGTATCCGCAATCACACACAAGGACCTGAAAAGAGGGAATAGAGAGTTTATAGAACTTGAAAATGAAAAAAGGGCGTACACAGGACCGAGAGAAAACGAGTCAGGCGATGGTATAAAAAGCCATACTGTGCGCAGAAAGTAACAATATAGGCAAGACCCATTCCACGGAAATGATACCAACGCTCGGCCTAAAAACCCTTTGTTAAACTTAAACTCTCCTCGAGAAACTGTTTTCAAGCCGAGTCAAATTCGTTAATGTTATGTAGGTATGTTAGTTAACTAAGTATGTCGTCTCGTCTACCGAACCCACTGTCCGCTTAATTAGGTATGAAGGAAAGCCTGACGGTTTCAGTTTCTATCACGTTAGGTTACATCCAATTGCGGTGAAAAAGAGGGGTGCTGCAATCTATTCCAGCATTGCACGGATCCAACAACAGGGCATATATCCCGAACCAATGAGTAGCTTAAAACCCGTAAACTTTGGCACACTAGTCCAGTACTCTATCTGTAAGCCTTCTAGGGGGACTTGTTCACTGGAAAGGCAGCTTAAAACCCGTAAACTTTGGCACACTAGTCCAGTACTCTATCTGTAAGCCTTCTAGTGAGAACTCGTCAACTGGAGAGGCTGCACTGTCGAAAATGAGTAGTGCTACCTTGAAAAGATAAGTCTCTGGACTACCTCACTTTCCCCCATTGGACCAGTGAAACGCAATCAGCTGTTTGACTTAATCACCTAATGCTGTGAATGGACCGAGACTCGTTTTGTATTTTGGTCCAAAAAGTTCAGCGCGAAACACAGTGCTACAGTGCATTTCTGGCATGCATATTAAAAAGTTAGCACAGTTGAAGACTCAGGATAGAAAAACAAGCATCCCGATTAACAGTTAACTGAGATGTCAGTAATGCAGCATTTGGACCTGATGACTGTGAACTATAAACTGTCATTTTGAAGAAATCGGCCCGAATGCATTAGGAAGGAGTTTGACGACGATAACTCACCGAGATAGTCATCCATAAGAGTGCCCACAGCAAACTAACAAGAGAGGAAAACGCTTTGGAAGTGACAGCGCAAAACAAATGTGACCACCCATCCCGCGTACAAATTAGAAGTAGACACCAGCAAAAATTTACACCATATATCCTGTCTAAGTGTTTCTGGTCAGCCACCCGTAGCTGAGAGGCAGGATGTTTAGCTACGGTCGAGCTTATGGGTTTAAACTCTCACACAGATCACTGTGGTGCTCATTGTTGATGAATGTCAACAAGGACTTCCAGGAGCAACAAACCAACATTGACCTAAACTGCACAACAGAATTCACGGTTGGAATTTTGAATTCCCCTCACAGTCCACAAGCACAATCCTGTGGGGTACAAGCCTCTCATGAACTCCATAAAATTTTTTATTGAAGCAGCTCTGTGCGAACGAGGATGTGTAATCAAGTGCATTTCAGTAATCGGAGAAGTCAAACAGAACGGAGAGTAAATGGAACGATGACATTTCGCTTACGTTTCACAGAAAGTGCGTAATGACTGATGAAAGAATTGCTCGAAGAGCAGTAGCCAGAATCCGCTCCCAAGGGACCGCACACATGGTACCCGGCATGAAGGGAACCTACCCACCTAAACAAATGCTCCGGATGCGACCAACCTGTCCTAAAATCCGAAGTATCTGGTTTCGTTTGTCCACCTCAACAAAACAAAGCACAGTATGGGTGTTAGTGAGTATAATAAACATGACACTGGGATAGGATTATGTCCAGAACGGTACACGAAATCCGAACCTAGGAGTGAAAGACTTAGCGAGCCTGATAGAGGGAACAATCTAGTGCCTGTATTGAGAACGTACACTTACTATTAGGAAACCTGAAGTTGTTGACCGAATGATTCTTCTCATGTTATTTCTACTCAAGCTCTTCTATTAGCAATACAAAAATTATTAAACTAACGGAAACAAGTGTGCAAATCTATCGATTTAAGTGTGCCTGTAAGAGACGCACAGGAGTGGCCAGAAACGTCGACCATTCACTGAGAACAGTGTTCACAGGAATCATCCTAAGAACAAGTGACAGGCTGAGGATCAACAACCGAACGGCCCTAAAAACAAGTATCCCTAGGATGTCTACTACCAAACTACGCAGAAACTGCTTTGCTTGTACGAATCTGCAACGTAAAGCAGGATAAAGCCTACCTTTGCTACTCCTAGAGGGGGCGAGATGGCCCAAGTGGTTAGATCGCGAATTTAGTGACCGGAAGGTTCGTGGTTCGAATCCGACCTCCGCCACTCGACTTCCCCTGTCTAAGCTTGGGCAACCTGGCAGTATCCCAGCCCTCGTGGCATGGCAGCTAGGCACCGAAAGGATGCTACAGCTGAACGCTTGCTAGTCCTAGAAGTTGGCGTATGGAAAATGTTTCACTCTGACCAGGCACATAGCAACTAACGCGAAAGGTGTAATCAATAAGGGAAAGGGTGCTGCCAAAGCATAAGGATTTGGTAGATCTGAATTAGTATTCACCGAGTATTTACCGAGTATCTCTTCAAAGTCGAAAAGGCACAACACAAACTTGTGCAAGCAAACAATTCATTGGCGCCTTAATAAAAACACTTTGAGATCAGCTGCGTTGACCTGCAGCAGAGTGAACATTGTCGTCAGGCATTAATTGACGTTCTTGATCCCGTCTCCGCACTTTGTATGGTTACACTTGCGTACTTTAGTTTTCATCAGCTCAATAATCCCTATGTTACTGTTATCTGAAGGTAAGACAGAATAGCATAAAAAGAATTATCGGTGGACAAATTCGGTCCTAATCGCTTGCAGCTCGTGGCGAACCTTTTAGTTACAAACAATCAGTAGCCAGGAAGAGCTAAACTACCTTTTAACGGACCAAAGCTGTTTGGGACATCCGACAAGCCGATACAAATAACAACTGCGGATTTTGGCTATACATACGCAACCAACCGAATGAACGGTGAAGGATTTTTCTCCGACGACACAAAATACCATAAACCTAAATAACAAAGGACTTGAAAACAATCCCACTCACCTTAGGAGTTGGTGTGATTCTGTACTTTCTAACGTCGAAGGCCTAAATTCTGTTTTCACGACAAATATTTAAAAGAAATAGCTAATTTTCCCGGATAGGATAATCTAGTAGCGCAGGTGGACTGCATCTGGGTTGATTTGACCAGTTGGTGACCAGGTGAATCAAGTTACATCAGGCCTTCGTCGATCTGTATTTTACCTGTCAGAGTATATTTCTATAACCATAACTAAACACTAACCAAGCCCATCACGCTATCGACACCTTTCTCGGTGAATGTAGCAATCAGCATTGGAAAAGAGGCTCTATATACCAGTGCACTGATGCTCATTCAGTCAGGATATCCAAATGTTCACTCAGAGATAGAAGAAACAGCTGAGTAATTCGTGGGGAAATGCTCCGCTGACTAGATAAACCTATTTGTATACAGTTCCTGGATTACCAACTCAAATATCTTCCATTTTTCCAAGCAAACGTTTGTAGACATGTGGAAAGGATACAGTGTTGAACATTGGTGTTGCATACTTTCAGACCCTTCTAGATCTACGTAAGAAAACGGCATATTGAATCGTCCGAGGCGTCCGGCAAACCAATCAGATTACTCAAGTATGAAAACACGTTTTCCCGTTAAAAGGTGATAATTCAGGTGTGTTCAGTGTGCGCGAAGTAGTGGTAACACGTTCACATCATATGTCAGATACCCAGAGTTCGAACTAAGGATATGCACTGCTGAAGAGTACGAATAAGGGCGAAGCTCGAGTCCAGTGCTTCTCCCCTTCGGAATGAACTTACAGACGGGGCTGTCGTCACTGGACCAGCTTTTAAGAATGGGTATGCACCTTTCGCAATCACTCTGGCGCTACAGAAACACAACATACGGTCAAAAATGATTGTACAGTCATCCTGAATTTCGCAAACACAAACTTACTATGTCGCTGGCATCTACCCGGAGGCCGATGATGCGAACGCGGATGCGGTCTTCCACTTGAACCGTTTGATTCTGTAGACGATGAGAGAAGATAGATGAAGGAATAAAGTCACTCAGACATGAACAAGTTGGCAGACAAAGCAGATTTGATCTACTTCTGGCAGGAGTTTGTGCATGGAGACCTAAGTACGGTTCACCGAGAGTGGAACCCGAATGACAGCATTTGACTTAACAAAACTGACTCCTGTTAGGCGAAGCAAGCACTGAAAAAAACTTGTACCTCATGCGGCGCTGAGGGTGAGCTAATCGTCGGCCTTATTCCTTCCAGTTTACATAAGAAGCAGTGGTCAACAGGCGGTGACGCACTCGGCTACGCGCGAACCATTTCCCTTCCAGAGAGGACTAAAACCGCGGTGGAGACGCGAGTCGCTACACTTGTCAATGAATGACCACGCATCACAGTGATATGGAGGGATCTCCGGTTAGCATAGAGCATACCAACAAATCTACCAACGCATTCGTACCAAAGTAGTCTTCCAACGCTATCTAACTGTTCTCTGAACCAAAGGACGATTAAATGGTGGGTCAAGATCTGTTTAGAGGTGTATAAAGTCAATTTGGATTGATGCTACGGCTCCTGAACGAAGTGAACCGAAAGTAGAGTACCATTACCTGGAGAAAGTCGGCTCTTCTTGTATATTTCGACCTTTTCAAAAAATATTCCGGGTTGAATATCAACCATACTTACTAATAGAGATGTCAAACATGATGGAAGTTGCTACATTATCCTGAGAAACTGGCGCGGGTTTTTGATCACTTCATCTGATGCAAAAATCAGTGAATTCGTCTGCCACTCATGCGGACTATTTTCCCAGTGTATTCATATTCGGAGTTACAGTGAAAGCCTTCATGACAAGCAGGCAGATATACAGAGGATATGTAATCCTGAAAACTCTTATTCACGCCCACGTCCCTCATTATTAACGTCCAGTTAGAGCAAATACATAATGTAATAATAAGAACATAATAATATATACTTAGTGCTATTGTAAGCAAACAAACCTTAGATTATCTCGTATCGATCTGAACTACTTAAAAAGGCAACTTATCAGCCAATATTATGGCTTCCATGGCATTATCAGTTAACCATCGGTTCACCCGATAAATTCAAAGGGTCGATAAATATTTCCACAAATTAAGAATTCAAGTCCCAACTCGATATACGGAGCGGTTCTCATGTGTTTTCAGCAGCCTATCCTCCAGAAAAACCGCATGTACCTTTTCAATCTATAGATTCGCAAGGAATTATATCAACAAAGCTCCAATGACTAGACCTCTTATTTCCTTATTGTGACGAAGAACTGCTCAGCTATATCATACATTCAAGGACACGGAAGTAGAGGATTCCATTACAGTATGATTGGCAAACCGTTGCCTTGCGTCGAACACGGAAATAGGGCGTCAAGTGTACTGCCGAGAGAATTCTGAACTGATTGGCTGATTATGTTATGTCAAGAGAACACCGACTTTTCCAAGCTGCTGACTTGAAATGGAAGTATCCATACCGCTATTATAGATTTAATAGTATAATAATAATTAATAATAATAATCGTTCAGCTGTAGCACCGTTTCGGTGCCTAGCTGCCATGCCACATGAAGGAGGCACGAGGGCTGGGATACTGCCAGGTTGCCCAAGCCTAGACAGGGGAAGTCGAGTGTCAAAGATCGGGTTCGAACCACGGACCTTCCGGTCAGTAAATCTGCGCTCCAACCACTTGGGCCGTCTCGCCCCCACGGTTGCAAGACAGTTAAGTGCCACTGTTTTTCAACTGGCATCACTGCTTTGATGAAGATTTCAAATGATTCCAAAAAAATTGGTGATAGCATGGGGAGTAGAACACAAAAAGACCAAATCCTGAAGTTATCATATTGAAGAATTGGCGATTAAGCAGTATGTAAAATCAGTTGTGGACTTTATTCCAAGAGGCGTTAAACTAAATTAAGAGAATTTGAACATAGGCTAGTCATTTAGCGGAACTTACTTCCTCTTCATCAGCATCCAAGCCTTCAGGAGCATTGTCTGCACCTTCAAACTTCATATTGGGAGGAATGGACTGCACAATCTTGTTAGTGAAAGTAAAAGAAAACATACGTATTTTGATATAAATACAGTCAATGGTCCGGCTTCGGCAAAAACCCCGACTTTGTTGACCTGGGCGACGATTGCATCCACCACCTCTCCTTTGAAAGGCCGAAAGACAATTGCTCGATAGATTATATGATACTGGACGAAACCTCGATTGGGTTGGATTATGCCAGCCCCAATGTGCTCAATATTTGTGACCGCAATTATGAAACCATATCTGTGAAATAGTGAATTCCGATAACGAACTTCCTACTTTCCCGAGCAAGTTCCCTCTACATCGGAGAACAATTTCGCTTTCACAGTCTCAGTCAGGTTCGGGCCAAAATACTTGGGATGAAGTAGGATTTCATGCTCTAGCTTGATCTAGATACGCGGACGAACTCGGGAACAATGAAGATAGAGACATACGTGATAGAACATAGGGTGAACTGATGGTTGATTGAGTGAGCTTTTACTTGGGTGAAGGAGAATATGCTTGGCTGAGTCCTGAAGCGAGCAATCTGGAAATAAAATATCACAAAAGCGTGCGATTAAACGATTGACAAATGGAATTAACCACCAAGGGTGAATTTTACCGATGTTGACCACCAATGCATGACTTCATTGAAAGTAGTCACGGGGAAAGGGTGACAAAAGGGGAGACTCTTTTTGGTCACCTCCCAATACAAGCGCAACATACATCACACGAGCAGCAGCCAGGAATTCTGGATAAGAGGTGGCAACAAGCTCGCCACTGGGATCGGTTGTGTCATGTTATGGAAATTTTTCAACCGTACGCGAACAGAATCACAGGGATCGCAGAGAAGAGGGCTCGAAGACCTCACAGCTTCCAATTGGGCAATAACTGCTTTCATTGCGCGTTGCCACTTCATGGCCTGTCTTCTGCGAAACATTGGTCAACAAGGATTTAGAGTGGAAAAAAGGGCGTACTTGTGTACACGCAGTATGTGCCCCAACTACCTTAACCTGGTAAATTTTATTAATTGCTCGAAAGAATCCTAGTAATCGCCCACAGATCGTCATGTGCACGCTTCAGTCAGTTGCCATTTGCCATATTACGTCGATCAAATGTGTGAAGATGTTTCAGGAGGGGCCAAGTATTACAGCAACAGAGTAGGACCCGCTCTCACCGTCATTATGTAGACACTACCCCTTAATAGTGATATTCGTTCCTGAAGTCCAAGGTGATGCAAGCTGGAAAATATTGTTCTTACCATGGTGAGGCGTACACTGACTTCATCTGTCACGGTTCAGCCACCACGTATGCAGCTGTCAAGATAAGTGAACCTACCAAAGAACACGAGGTACTCAATATGAAGTCACAAAAGAACACACCTGAGCAAGATACCCTAAAGTGCGATCTCACACTTTGAAGTTTCAAACTGTGTGCCGAATCAGGGACCACTTTCGATGTCCTACTTAGTCTGTCCAGAAAAACTGTCGTCATATAGGAGAAAAATAACATCCGCATAATAATAAGCTGTAGCCACCATTTGGTGCCTTGCTGCCATACCACCAGAAGTAAGCACGAGGGCTGGAGTAGTCTCAGGTTGCCCAAGTCTGACACGGGAAGCCGAGAGACAGAGGTATGGTTCGAACAACGGACATTCAGGTAAGTAAATTCGCACTCCAGCTACTCAGTCATCGGCATAACCTAAGTTGATCCTTGCGACCGGTCCCCGGAAGCTACCGGTGGGCGAACACATTAAGGATCAGAACAGATCGACCATCTTGAACAAAGAGAGCCTCGATCTGTGGGTCCAATAGTTCGAAAAAGCAATTATAAAGGGCACCAGCTATCATTCATATCTGAAGCCTACAACTAACGCAAAAACCTGGACGGCCTCAGAGGTTTATGACAAAATATGTTCTCTCAAGCGCCACCGAGCTTCTAATGCGGAGGACCTCCCATCCACGCTGTTCAAAGATGGGGTTGAAGTCTTCAGTTAGCGCTTGTTTGATGCTTGTTTGCCTGCATTGGGGAAAAGGAGTCTGCCCCAGAAAACTGGGAGAGTCGGTGATAGTGCTCATTTACAAAAGTGGGCTCGTATGGAGTGTAGTAACCACATAAAGACCAGCTTGACCCCTGTCGTAATGAGATGGTTGGCACCATCTGTGCTTCACCACCTTATGGTGGCTCGTGAAACACTGACTCGAGAACAGCAAGCGGGATTCCGGGAAGGTAGGGGTTGCGTTGAATAAACCTTCACCCTCCAGCAGGTGATACAACTACGTCATACGTAGAAACGACCCATGATTTTAATATTCCTGGATTTCCAAGGCAAATCCGTCTTGATTGAACGATCTGTTCTTCTTGACACGCTTGCCACCAGGGAATGCCCCGAAAATTTGTGAACATAGCAAGCCCTTTGTATTCTCAGACTTCCGGAAAGTCATGCTCGTGGGTATGCAGTTACTGAACTCGCCATCTACAATCCAGAGAGAGGCACTCGAAGATTTAAGCAATGTCATCATTCGGTCTGATATCTAGCTCTTGAGTGCGCTCGGTTATGCCCTGCCATAGGTGAAGTTCCCGGCACTATGCAAAGAGGTGGCAATCTCGGCCCAATATGCGTTCATACCTGAGGGTGAGGCATGTAGAAGAGACTCTAGGAGACGATTCTTATAAGTTCGTCTAATATCCGAATCTGTCAGTCTCCCGGTTGCCAAGCGATTTGTCCGCATCTGGCGCGGACAAGAGATACGTAGAGAGAAGCGGCTCCGGACGAGTGGTCAGGCTCTATAAATGTGTTCCAAACCGACCGGCAGTCGTTTATTGACCCGCACCATCAGTAACTGATGGCAATGTGATCGATTTGAGTTTGTGGCCGGCATGCCGTTGGAGGAAGGCATGTGACCAGACGAGTTTGGTTATTTCGGAAATTGGTAGTGCATAAAAATAGCAGGCGATTAGCACACAGCTGAAGAAATCGTTCACTACTGTCCGTACCGAGTCCAATCCATTTCGACCTCTTATTTGAGCCTCAGATAAGCTAAGCCTGTCCACTCATGCATTCATTTCTCCGGCAACCACACGATGTCCGNTTTTAGGTCACCGTAACAGAACATTCAGAGCGTCGTAAAACCTGTCTTTGACGGCGTCGGAGCTACAGTCAGTTGGGGCGTAATCAGACACGATAAACGGACAGCGATCAACTTCCCATTGTGAGACCCCTTCACAGACATTGACAGACGAACCACACAGAGGCGACTATCAACAGATATTCGGTCAAGCAGGGATACTTCTGCCCGGTGACTTAGGACGATTCCAATCCCCGCAATACCCCACCGCAGCAGCCTCTGCATTATCAGAAGTGCGTAGCCAGAAGCGAGTGGGGAGTGATGGGGCGGTTAGCTCAACCACTGTGCTTGCATTTCAAATTCATGCTTCTGAGACACAGCACACATGAATGCCAAGCTAGTCCAGTATGAGAACAAGGGCAGCTTGTTGTCCTGCTTGCTTCAGAGTACGGACAGTGAAGGCAGCCACATAGATTGGGTGTCGAGGCTTGAAGATTGATTTAGAGATACCTGAGGACGTCGGCGCCATGTGACGAGCACATGTTACACGTAAAACCGATGCAAGACAAACGGAGTCATCAGCCCTAAGCGCTAGGCGTACAAGGAGAGAGTTATTAATAGGGTGGGGAGAGGGGGGAGAAAAAGTATGTGAAGGAGAAAGAAGGGAGGCGTCAGCAGTAGTTTGTTTTCACTTACCCGCCCACTGTATGTAGCGAGTAAGGCGACCCGGCTGATGGCATCATGCGACGGCCGATGTGGCATGAGTTTGTTGTTGGACGTAGGCATCATGGCTGTACGTGGGCTGGGCGCCCACACCTAGAGATAAGGACGATTAGGGTCCTCAACCAAAGCCTTTGGCTCAAAAGCCTAACCGCGAGGCAGTAGTGTTTGGCAGGAAATGCAAATGCATCACCATTTTCACGGAACAAGTCACCACATGTTCCGACTCCAAACCTGGAGGCCCAGAAGGCTGTGTTTGTCAAACCTCTAACCACTAACCAGCCTGGTATGAGAGACTATGTGAGCATCGCGAGGACACCCCACTGGTATAGCTCAATGGGTCACTGAGGTGCGCAAACCGTCACATCACGGCAAGGTCATTTCGTGATGGAAAAATCGCTCAGCTGTAGCACCCTTTCCGTGTCTAGCTGCCATGCCACCCAAAGGAAGCACGCGGGCTGGGATAATGCCAGGCTGTCCAAGCCTAGACAGGAGAAGTCGAGAGGCAGAGGTTGTGTTCAAACTACGGACCTTTCGGTTAGTAGATGCGCGCTCTAACCACTTGTCTTCTCTCCCCCGATCAAGTTGTGTACCCAAGAAGGAATAGCAGTCTTGAGTTGGAGCTCTCCACCGGCAAACTTTCCAGCAGACTCATCTGCGCTGGTCATTGCAATCGACCAATCAACTCAATTTATTAGCTGCAAACTGTACCATAGGCGCATTGGTTCCTGCTGCTAAAGTTTTGATCATTGGTATACGGAATGGGGAATACAGCCGAACCTAGGAGGCTTTGGCGCATGAGCGCCACAGATTGAGCGATTGGGCTATTCCTGCCCGTGTCATCAGTCACCGGGGAGTGGAGTCCTGGGATTCCCCTCTGAGAAGGCAGCAGTTACCAACCCAAGTAGGATTACTAGTAAGCGTTTTCGTCCTTCGTTGCCAGGTCGTATATTGTCCACCTGTTATGACTTGCTGAACGTGCAACTCTATCGGTCCTTGGCCTCCTGCTTCGCCCACTATGGTGTATCAAGACGGCTGGTGCTATTACCACAACCTCTTAAGTAATCTCTTGTTGGTTCGTCACATATAAACTGCACCTACACGAAATATACATCATTTGCGACTGCATAGTGTAGTATACGGTGTCTGTCATTTTGATTGATTCATACGTAAGTATTGGTGATGTACAACCTTGCTTACTGGGCTTTGGCTCATGAGCTTTGTTTCTGTTTTCCATCCACAGAAATTGTCGTGAACACCTGCCTTCGGAGAATCACTGTCCCCTGGTGCTTCCATAGCGTGCATATTACATAATTGGCGACCACGCCAGGATTGAGAAAGTCAAGACATGACCAAACCCCAAATCAGCTGATGAGGTCCGTAGCTTCATGGGACTGGCATCATATTATCGCCGCTTCGTAGCTGGATTTTCTAAGATCGCTACTCCACTCACATCCCTCCTGCAAAAGAACACCCCTTTTGTTTGGTCTGAAGAACAAGCCAAAGCATTCGAGCAGCTCCGCGAGTGCCTGTGTTCCACACCTGTTTTGACCTATCCGGATATCTCGCCATCTGCCGGCACCTTTATCTTCGATACGAACGCAAGCGAGAACGCGATTGGTGTTACAT